AGATCCCTATCCACGGCTGGTCCGTCCCTGTCCCGTCCACTTCCCTGGTCAGATCCCTATTCCCGGTTGGTCCATCCCTGTCCTGTCCACTTCCCTGCCCAGATCCTATCCCTGGCCAGTTTGTCTCTGCTCTGTCCACTTCCCTGGCCAGAATCCTATCCCCATCTGGTCCATCCCTGGCCAGATCCCTATATCTTGCTGGTCTGTCCCTGTCCCGTCCACTTCCCTGGTCAGATCCTTATCCCTGCCTGGTCTGTCTGCACCCTGTCCATTTCCCCATCTCTGCCCTGGCCAGTCTGTCCCTCTCCCGGCTGGTTCCCTGTCTCCATCCAGCCTGTCTCCCCCCCATCCAATTCCCTGTCCACCATCTGGTCCATCCCAGTCCCACCCAGCTCCCCTGGTTCCCCTATTCTAGTGGGAATTTTTCTCAGCCTAATGATGTTGCTCATCTGAGTCCTAGATACTGGTTGATGGATATGGATCTGACTTTCTCTGCCTAGTCCTGCTTCTCAGTCTCTCACGGACTGCTCCTGGATGGCTTACCAGTCATATTTAAGATGGATGAAAAAAACCTTCCTTCCTTCCTAATTCGCTCCACTTCCTCACTCACAACTCTCTTTTCTCTCACTCAAGCACTTAACTCGGGGGCTGTCTCTCACTCCTCCCATCACATCCAGGCCAAGCCCAAATCTTGCCATTTCTTCATTTGCAACGTATCAAAAATCTCCCACCCATCTCCGTCGCAGTAGCTAACACTCCTGCTCAGGCCCTGGGATCTCCAGTGTTGATTATTGCAATGTCTGCCTTTCTGGCTAACTGTTATGCACATTGCGCTTCACCAGCAAAGGACTGGTACACAAAAAGAAGAGCCAGAGGCCTCTCTGCAATGCTCCCCAGAGGTGCCCAGGGTTGTGAGGCACCTCACCACCACCTAGCCTCATCATTCATGAGGAAGTCTTGTTTGTGCCTGATGTGGATCAGATCCTTGAAACCACCAGCCTCTGGCAGCACACGTAGAGCATTCCAGGCCTCGGTCTCTCTGTTCAGGTAGCAACACACCAACTGCCAGATCCTTGGAGTGTTCCTGTAGTGTCTAGCCCCCTCCACTGAACCCTCACAGGGCTACCAGGCCTGCAGTTCCTAAGGAACCGTACGCCAGCTTGTAAGACTCAACTCAGGTTCAGCACTTTGCTTAACATCACAGCACTGAGATCTAGTTATAATGAAAACAAGAATGTGTTTGTTGTCAGAGAACCAAGATTCATGTGATAGTGAGAATACTGGAAAAATGGGTTACATACAAATCAAAATCATAACATGCTTTCTAGAGACTAAAACAAGTTATCCTCTTGTTTAACAGCTTGTCTCACCCATCGTTCTCACCAGCGTTTTCAGCCAAGCCTGGCTGAGACCCTTCTTTCACAAAGCAAACTGACTGTTCGTTTGCTGCCTCGGGGAAGGATGCTAGGGTGTCATTTTTTGTCCCCTAAATATTCTAGAGCAAATCTTTGACGTGCACCTCAAGATGGGGTCTCTCTTCTCCCATCCCTCTTCCACGGCTGTTTGCTTCTTCCTGTTACTTTTCTCTCACTTCACAGTGCTTCATTAGCATTCGGTTCAGACTAGGGAGAGGCGACCTGCTGTGAACTATACGGTATTTAATTTAGGTCTAAACAGCCAGACACTTCTTGTCTAACAGAAACCGCTTTTTTACCTTTGCTAGTGGCCAGCCCTAGACACAGACATTAAGTACATAATTGCCAGTATATATACGTAACTCCTTACACAGCATCTGTATGTGCCGTTTGTGATTAGATTGATGACCAGTGTGATGCTGGCTTTTCTTTGAGACCTCAGACGACATTCTTTGGTGACCTAGATAGACTGTATGTCCCAGACCCAGGAGATCCTTGTCACCCAGGCACCCCTCTGTTCCCCTTGCCCATTGGCACTCAGAGGTTCCTGAGCCACCCCCTCCTGCTGCACTGTAGTGCTAGGCTGTTGGGATGCTTTTGGCACAACTTCCTGGCAGTTAATGCAGCTGGGCACAGCATGACACTCTGCTCCCTTGGGCTGCTGAGGTTAGGGACTGTTCCCTGCACGGTGCCCCACACATTAGTGTGCTTAGTGTCCTGGCTTTGTGGAGTTCGGGGGCAGCCTTTCTCTGCAGCATGGGGCACGTGTCACTTACTGCTCTGGAGTAGAGTAAATGGTGGATTCTTTGTAACTTGACATCATTACATCACAAATTGAAGACGTCAGTAACTCAACCAGAGATTATGGGCCTCCTACAGGAGTGGGTGGGGGAGGTCTGTGGCCTGTGATGTGCAGGAGGTCAGACTAGATGATCACCCTGGTCCCTTCTGGCTGAAAGTCTGTGAGTCTATGACCATGACCTACAAGCCCCTTGCCTGGGGAGGTCAAAAGGAGTGTTAGGCTTGTCTCTGGTCCCTCCCCTTAGGGCTGCATGAAGGGGTGTCACAGCAATGAGAAGCCCCCCAAGCCTTTCCGGCCAGAGGATACCTCAGACAAGCTGAAGGCCAAGCCAAGCACAGAACTCATCGTCCAAAGCCCCAAATCGGCTGAGAAGATGCAGCGTGAAAGGCCAAGGTGAGTCAGGCACTGGCCATGTAGATGTCCCTGCCCCTGCTTCCCTCTCAAGATGGGGCAGGGAAGGTTAATCTGAGTGTTGAGGGAAACAATGCTGTTTTTTGTTATGTTGTGTGTGGTTTTTCTTTCCAGCTCTGATGAGCCAAGACAGCCACTGCTGATTAAAGTGTCCAGGTCTCTGGAGCAGACCCTGGAGAAGCTGAAGCTGGCCTCCAAAAACCAATGCCCAGAGGGAGGTTCCTTGTGCAGGGGTGAGAAGATGGGGATGGGCCTGGCAGGGTGGTCTTGGGCTGTGCATTATGGGAAGCATGGAGGGTGCACAACTTAGAAGCAGGTATGTGTATCATGAAGAGGGATTGCAGGCTGTGGCAGGCTGTAGGGTTATATGCCAAGATGGAGCTGTGCACTGGGGGGGCTATGGACTGGTATCCTGGTGAAGAATAATGTGGCTCATGGTCCTGGGTGATGGGCGTGTGAGTGGAACCCTGGGTGAATGTCTAAGCCTGATAAAGAGCTCTGTGCTATGTGTGTTGATTACAGCAGAGGCCATTCCGGAGGTCAGAACTGGCACCACCTGTAAGAACTCAGGCTGTAAGGTGGTGAGTTGCACCCTTGGCTTTGTGTTCCAAAGTCCAGGTCAGGGTGTCCCAGGCTCTGGGGAATCAGTTCTCGGAGCGTAGCTCTGTGGACACATGCTCCCTTCCCTGCTGATTCTGGCTCAGTGCCCCGCACTGGCAGAGACCAGCTTTCTGGGTTTGTTTGGCAACTGGGGGGAGAGGGTCTTCACGATCTCTCTAGTGCCCACCAAAAATAGTAAGTGTCAGCACCTGGGACTTATGACAGGAACATCTAGCTACATTTTCTTCAGCCACAGTGAAGGTTTCGGGTGGAATCTGCTGGCCCCACAGCAAAGTTGGCATCCCCACTTCCGTCACCGAAATCCAATAGGCTTCCCAAAAAGCTCTTACTGCAGCCTCCACTGGCCAGGAGAGCAGGCTCCTGGAATGGTCTGCATGGCAGACAGCAGTTCCATCACACCAGCATTGCATACTGATGGCTTGTGTAGGCGTGTAAGCTTTCAACCCCAGAACCCTGGAGCAGGGGTGCTCATCCCATTGCAGCTGGGAAGCCTGTAACCATGGGGAGAAGGGAGGGGTTCAAGGGGCTGGAAGGAGGGAGGGATTAGGGTGAGTGGGATCCAGAAGGAAGTAGATTGAACGGTGTAGGGAGAGACTGAGAGGGCAAGGAGAAGGAGGGAGAGCACAGCACAGGGAGTGCCTGGCGGGAGTGGGAGGGGTAGCAAAACCAGCAGGGAGCAAACATACAATGTGGGGAAGCATGGAAATGGCAAGGAGGGAAAGGTGACGGGCATGGGGACTGAGAACGGCTAATAGTGAGTGTATGTCTCTGTCCCTATCCCCTTGGTTTCTGAGCCTCCCATCCCATGCTGCATGTGTTTGAGGGGAGAACTGGGGAAGGGGCAGTCAGTGAAGGGTCCTGAGGCTCCAGCCATGTCCTGCAGGACACTGCGGGGACCAGCTGCACTTTAAGCAAAGAATTCTCCTTCCGCCTTCCCCTAAAGGTTCAGGTCAGGTTTCATTTTCATCAGTATGCTGTGCTGATCACTGCCACTGCCTCTTCCCCGGCAGATCTACAAGGGGGCAGAGAATGAGACGGAGGCTTGTATTTTCCACCCCGGAGTTCCTGTCTTCCACGAGGGGTAAGAAACATCCTTTGGAACCAGGAGACTTTTATCCCCATACTTGTAAAAACTGCCTGCCTGCCTTGGACCCTGACTCCGCTCTTCAGTGGCAGACCAGTCAGCACCACAGCAAGCTTTCCCACAAGGAGAGACGGTCACCCTGGGGAGGCCCACTCAGTCCGCAGCTCCTCCAACCAGATGGCCAGTTGTGTTGGTTATTTTTATCCTGTGGCCATGTGACACCCCAGCTCATGTCACACAGACAGGCTAGCAGATGGCCACATCTCTTGGTCCCTCTGAGTTTGTTCAGACTAGAGCTGTCAGTCCCATATCCCCCATGCTCAGCATCTTGAGTGCCCCAGGTCTCCCTGCCTCCACCTAGCTCTACCTCTAAACCCCTAGAGCTCCCGTCTTCCTTGGACTCATGTGTCCCTTTCTAGCATTCCTAGATTAATTTGTTTCTTGCTCTTTCCCCAGTATGAAGTACTGGAGTTGCTGTGGCATTAAAACTACAGACTTCAGTGCGTTTCTGGAGCAAGAGGGCTGCAGCACTGGGAAACACAGCTGGATAAAGAAGGAGGTATGCCACTGTGGCAAGGCTTAGAGCAGTGAGCAGACAGCAAAGGAATCCTGAACTGTCACTGCTCCCCCCTCTGTGCTGGTAACTGTGGCATCTGCTCGTCACTGGGGCACGACAGACCAAATGGATTCTTAAAATATCACATGCAAAAAATATTGTGGTTGAAACCATTGTAATTCTGAGGCCTTGAATGCGCATTACCGAGTCTCCTTTCCTGATCACACAGCACAGGCAGAAACACAAATGCCTGCATTGGAGCATCAGGGTGCTAGGCAAAGGGGCAGAGTAGGCATGAAGAGCCAAATCCTGTTAGTGCTGTTTACGCAAATAATCCCTCCTTGTAGGGAGAGTGGGACTGGGCCAGGACTGCTCACTGTGTCCCTTCTTTAAAGGGCTAGTGCAGACCCAGGATGGAGAGAAATTAATGTCCTCTCCATTTTAGTCTGTCGTTTGCTGAATAATGTGTCACTTTGCCCAGTAGCAAGGACTCCAATAATATTTATACAGCACAGGGCTTTGAAGAGGGAAACCACCATACAGGTGTTATTAGGCTTTGTATGATCGCATGGGATAAGCCATACTGTAGTGCCTATGAAGAATGGGGCTGCATGACAGTCTGTGAGGGCCTTAACTGCATTTCTGGCATTTAGTGACTGCAGCCCTTTCACCACATGCTGCCTTCACTCACATAGGCTTGTGCATATAACTTTCTTGAGGGTTTTTTTTAAACTGAGGATAAATTAAAACGTATTTAAAAATGTATTTGAATCTCTGATCCTTTTTCAAACTTTTCTTAAACTTTTCCCTCTTGTCTGAGACCAGGTCTGAGCAGCTTAGCTCAGAAGGCAGGTGTTTCAAACCACTAGCGATAGATGCATAAAAAGAAATGCTATCTCAGCCAAACCTAATGGAAATGAGCTAAAAAGTCAGGGCATGGTAGCAAAACTAAATACACATGACACAGGCAGTGCAGAATATGAACAGTCTCCCCATGGGTGACCCTCCAAGGGAGGCTAAATCAATTTCAACAGGCAAGGGGACTGGGGAAGCTGCACCCAAAGTTTGAAGGCACTTCCAAGCTAACACAGAGTCTGCTCTTCCTGTCAGCAAGTGCAAACGGGGTCCCCATGCCCACCTGGATTTTTCCCTTGAAGGTTTGCAGTTCAGGACTGACCAGACCCAGCCCTGCTTAGCTGTTTAAAAAAAAACACGAGAGAGGATAAAATCAGGCCAGCACAAGCCTGCCCTTTGAAATATCCTGCTATTACCTCTTAACATACACCCCTCTGATTGCTACAGGGTAGTCATCTTCACTGGCACGGCTGGTTATTACTCCGCCCATTTCTAAAGCAGGCAGCAACACAGAACTGGGCCATTCTTACAGAATTGTGTCTGGTGCAACTGGTATAACACGAGATACATAACTGTCATTTCCCCTAATTGAACGCTGCTCTCCTTGCATGGCTACTACATAGCTTCCTTTAGATGGGGCAGGCTGAAAGTGCAGCCCTTGGTTTTAACACCTTAGAAACCACTGGTGGGTGACAAATAAAAAAGTTAAGCAGGGTTAGTTAGCAAGAGCGGGGCACTGAGCCCGGCTACCCTGAGTGCCAAGGCCCTGCTGCTTAGATGGGTGGTGGGTAAGTATAAGCAGCAGTGGGCTAGAGAGGAAGGTCTCTTGGCCCAAGCCTCCGCTCCCCTCCCCTCTCTGGAGATTAATGTCCCCTGTGACTAGGAGAGAGAGATCAGCTAGCCCAGTGTCTGCACTGTCAAAGGGAAAGGTTGAGCAGGAAACATTTCTCTGGCTGTAACAGTTTGGGTGTGGAAGGCTCTGGCTGAGGTACAGAACAGGTTAAGAGGAACGTTTAAAACAAGTGAACTGGATGTAGCATTTATGGGCCTGTTCATCTTCAAACCTTTCCTAGACAGGCAGCCTCACACTGACCTGGACTTCGTGCGTGAGGATCACACAGGCAGCTGAACTTCTGAATGCAGGAAAAGCCTCTCAAAATATTCCTAGCACCAAACATTTCTGTGTTAGATACTTGCCAGTGCCAGTGTCAGTCTGAGTTGAATTACACTTGCTCCCTAAGATGGCTTTGTTCAGAAGTGTCGCCCCCAAAGCATTCCAGCTCTGGGGCGATGAGTGCCAGTCTAAGGTCTGAGAGAGAGAGAGAGAGAATTCTCCAACCAAGTTCACAGCTGGAAACAGAGGTTTAGTTTTAGAGGAAGGACCAGCACTGATTGGAAGACTGAATTGTGTACCTTGGAGCCAGGCCTGTCTGATTCCCTGGGGAATCACTGTGGAGCTTGGGAAAACCTGGTGAGGATCTTGCTGTGGAACAGGAGGAGGATGGATATTAAAAGTGATGTAATTGCTTTGGTGACCCTGCCTCCTGCACACAATGATGAGACCCTCTTTAGTCTCATTGGGCTGCAGACTGTGTTGGAAATGGCTTTAGTCTAAATGTAAAGAACCCAGTGTTACATTTGACGTGCTGGGCCAGCTTGGCCTCTAGCGCTGTGCTGGGACTCTAGCCTTTAGTTAACACATCAGCCAGGAGGAACGGTGCAGGGCTTCTTGGCTAGATCTGTTCTTTCTGCAATGGGGGAGGAGACGTGTGTGCTGGAGGCTGGCCTCAGTAACAGGCTCCTTTTCTCACCAGGATAAGAAGTTGGTGTCTTGTCGACAAGACTGGCATCAAACCAGCAGCCAAGTGGTGGTGACGATTTATTCCAAGAATCCTCTGCCAGCACTCAGCTCTGTGACGGCCAGTCGCACTGTGGTATGTGGGGTCCAGGTCTAACAGACCTAGAAATGCAAAATGCTGTCCTGCTGCGTACTAGTCTTCGAGGCCTGTGCAGGCTGTCAAAGCCAGCCAGTTCCCTTTGTATGCATGCTAATGCTCTCCAGAACAGTCGCTTAAACACCCCACTTCTAATATAGACTCTTAGGGTAGACCTTGTGCTCCTGAGAAGGAAAATGCAATTCCCCTTGGCTTGGTCCATCTCTCTCTTCCTTCTACTATCTGCTGCAGGGAGTTGCCATCTGTCTCTGTTTTTGTGGGATAACCCTGATATGAATAGGACTACCCTGCTTCCTGCTGAAGGGGTGAGACAACATCTCAGGCTGACAGTGTTCTATCTGTTGGCTGCCTTAGAGATACTGTTGCTCAGAATATTGCTGCCCTGGCTGAGGAGTGGCTGGGCAGCGAGGATTGCCTTTGTTAATTTCTGTGGTGTAGGTTCCCCTGAGGACTGTCCTTTATGGAGCTGCAGCCACAGGGAGCAGTTTTGTCACTGTCTCTCACTGTGCGAATGAAGCTTCATAGTGGCCAGTGCCAGGTGCTTCAGAAGGAATGAACGGAACAGGGCAGTTATGGGTGATCCATCCCCTGTCGTCCAGTCCCAGCTCCTGGCAAAGAGAGGCCTGTACTCACAGTTGTTCAAGGTCACAAAAGTCCAGCTCACCCTGTTACATTAAATTGTTCACCAAAGTTAGCAAAAGTTGGAGACAAATAGACTGCTACAAACTGAACTGTTTGCATCAAAAACAATCTGTGCTGAGGGCTCCTGGTAAAGTCATGGGTTGGTATGATGGGTTAAAAGATTCTAGAAAGGGAAGAAATGCTTATAATTAAAAATTTTCAAAATATGTTTTGATTGGTTAATGTTAATAGGATGAGATTGCCCCCCCCTTCTTGAATATTGTTTATCGGGGGAAGAGGAGAGGGGTCATTGAACTGGGAACGGGTGGAGTCGAAAGACACCTGGAGCAAGTGTGAGGTGCCTTTTATTTGATTTATTTTTATATTTATAACTAAACCCTGGCAATATTTATTGAGTAGGGTCCTGGAATCTAAGTAGTTCTGCGGCTCCTCCTTGCACAGACTAAGATTGGTTCCCTAGCTTGACAGCACAGTAGTTTGCATATCGTAACCTGGACTGAGCTCCTGGATGGGGTTTGGATTGTTCTTTTGCTACTGGCACTGGGAAATCTGTCTCTCCCATTAAGTCCAGAAATAATGATATTATAACGCTGAGTCTGTTTTGACCCTCAGCCCCTTTTGGTCCATGTAATGTAACCCTCCAGCAACACGCTCAGTGCGCCCCATCTGCGGCCTTCTCCTTTTGCATTGAGAGTTTAGTGGCTTCTGTCCCACGTGGCCATATTCTTTCCTCTGCATCACTGTGTCCTGAAACTCTTCTACCCTCTCAGCTAGTTTCCACACGAGCAGTACTGTTTTGTAAGTCCTCTGTTAGTAGTGGGGAGTCTGTTAGTGAAGCTGAAGGGTTAACCCCAGCCACACTGAATCAGCACAAAAATCTGGCACCTTGGGGATTAGCACCTTGGCATCTCTAAAATCTCCTGAAGGCTTCAGATCTCACTTCAGATTTTGGCTGCCGGGAAAGGTGGAGAGAGCAAAGTTAATTTGCAGTTCCTAGGTGTGGCAAGGAAAGAAATTCTTCATTTAACTGCCACATCAGCTCTAATTATGGTCTTGGCTTTGGGTGGTTTGTTAATCCAGTATTATTACAATTCCTCCACAAAGGTCTTTGATAACTTTGAGTTAAGAGCATTAGGCTCCATATCCCACTGCTGCAATCTGTAAATAACAAGACAATAAGCAATTACATAATTCAGCATCTGTGTAATTATTGGTTCCCCTTCTCAGCCTCACCTCCTTCTGCAGAACACACAAATGCGGGTTAGATGCTGCAGGGCCTGGGAGCTGAGGATGAGGAGTTTGACTTTGCCCATAAAGCTTCAGGATAGGCAGGAGATGGATTATCAGATCATTACTACAGAGGCCTGAAATGGGCAGGGGGTGTCGTGTGGGGACACAAACACCACAGTATCAGGCTGCTTAGTCTCAGTACTTAGTCCTGCCTCAGTGCAGGGGAATGGACTAGATGATCTATTGAGGTCCCTTCCAGTCTACATTTCTATGATTCTGTGCAGCTACACTATCCCAAAAGGCAGATCCTAGAGGTGACACCTTTCCCTTGCTGTGTGGCTTTGATGCTCACTCACTCACCAGCTCTGCAGAGTTGGTCCTTCTGTACTTGCTAAGAGACTTCTTTCTTTCTTTCTTTCTTTCTTTCAGATTGATGTCCATATCATGTTCGAAGGTGACAAGGTTTTCCAGGCAAAGCTGGATCTCTGGGGGGTAAGATTTCTGTTTATCTTGGTTCCCTTATTCCAGCAAGCTGTGGATGGAAAGGGACTGGAAGCTGGGCTCAGGTGCCAAGATGTAAATTAACAGATCCCAAGGCCAGAAGGGACCGTTGTGATCATCTAGTTCAGTGGCTCTCAAACTTTTGTACTGGTGACCCCTTTCAAATAGCAAGCCACTGAGTGCAGCCCCCCTTATAAATTAAACACTTTTTTATATATTTAACACCATTATAAATGCTGGAGGCGAAGAGGGGTTTAGGGTGGAGGCTGGCAGCTCACGACCCCCCATGTAATAACCTTGCAACCCCCTGAGGGGTCCCGACCCCCAGTTTGAGAACCCCTGATCTAGTTTGACCTCCTGTGTAACACAGGCCATAGAACTGCCACAAGATAATTCCTAGAGCAGAGCTTTTAGAAAAACATCCCATCTTGATTTAAACGTAGCCTGTGATGGAGAAGCTGCCATGATCCTTGCCATGACTCCAGGCATCTGAAGAAGTGAGGTTTTTTACCCACGAAAGCTGATGCCCAAATAAATCTGTTAGTCTTTAAGGTGACACCAGACTCCTTGTTGTTTTCATGATCCTTGGTAAATTGTTCCAACTGTTAATTGCCTTCACTGTTAAAAATTCACACCTTACTTACAGTCTGAATGAATCTCGCTTCAACTTGCAGCCCTGGGAGCCTGTCAGACCTTTGTCTGCTGGACTGACGAGCCCATTAACAAATATTTGTTCCCCATGTGGATGCTTATGTAACTCACACACCTCCTGGGTGTGGTGTTCTGTCCTGTCTAGTAGCCTCAAGACCACTTAGGCCTTGGCTACACTTGCAGATGTACAGCGCTGTGAGTTAAACCTGACTTCGTGCAGCTGAGTAGGGAAAGTGCTGCACTCTGTCCACACTGACAGCTGCCCAGCTCACTGTCGTGGCCACATTTGCAGCAATTGCAGCGCTGTTGGGAGCGGTGCATTATGGGCAGCTATCCCACAGAGCACCTTTTCCCATTCTGGCGCCGTGGGTTGTGGGAAGGGGGCGTGGGTGCGGGGGATTCTGGGTCCTGTCCCAGTGCCCCGTGATGCATCGCTTCGCATCCCAGAAATCCCTTTGTTTCCGTTCACCTTTGGCGCCATCTTTCAATGGTTTCTGTGCAGCGCGATCTGTCTGCGGGAAATGGAGCCCGAACTGCTGAGGCGTATGCTGACTTATCTCGCCAGCACGTCACGTTTGGTTGTCGAACTATTCCTTAAGATCCAAAGTGACAGTGAGAGTGAGGAGTCTGACGATGCTATTGAGCCGCGTAACGCGTATGACACGAAATTGCTTGTGGCATTCACGGAAATGCTCAGCACCGTGGAACGCTGCTTTTGGGCTCGGGAAACAAGCACCGAGTGGTGGGATCACATCGTCATGGAAGTCTGGGATGACGAGCAGTGGCTGCAGAACTTTCGGATGAGAAAAGCCACTTTCATGGGACTGTGTGAGAAGCTTGCCCCCACCCTGCGGCGCAAGGACACGAGATTGAGAGCTGCCCTGCCAGTGGAGAATCGGGTGGCTATTGCAATCTGGAAACTGGCAACTCCAGACAGCTACCGGTCGGTCGCAAACCAGTTTAGAGTGGGGAAGTCGACCGTTGGAATCGTGTTGATGCAAGTTTGCAAGGCCATTAATCGCATCCTACTCAGAAGAACCATGACTCTGGGTAACGTGCAGGAAATAGTGGATGGCTTTGCACAAATGGGGTTCCCTAACTGTGGAGGGGCGATAGATGGGACGCACATTCCTATTCTGGCACCACCCCACCTAGGATCCGAGTACGTTAATCGGAAGGGGTATTTCTCTATGGTTCTCCAGGCGCTTGTGGATCACCGTGGGCGTTTCATTGACATTAACACAGGCTGGCCCGGAAAGGTGCATGATGCATGCATCTTTCGGAACACTTGGCTGTTCAGGAAGATGCAGGCTGGGACTTTTTTCCCAGAGCGGAAGATCATGGTAGGGGAAGTTGAAATGCCCATTGTGATCCTTGGAGATCCCGCTTACCCGTTAATGCCATGGTTCATGAAACCCTACACAGGGAGCCTTGACAGCAGCAAGGAACGGTTCAACTACAGGCTGAGCTGGTGCTGAATGACTGTGGAGTGTGCCTTTGGCCGTTTAAAGGGCCGCTGGCGATCTCTGTATGGGAAGCTGGACTTGGCCAAAAACAGCATCCCCGCGGTTAAGTCCGCGTGCTGTGCCCTCCATAATATTTGTGAAGGGAAGAGTGAAAGCTTCATTCAGGCATGGACCTCCGAGGTTCAACACCTGGAGGCTGAATTTGCACAGCCAGAGAGCAGGGCTATTACAGGGGCCCAGCGCGGGGCTGCAAGGATTAGGGATGCCTTGAGGGAGCAATTTGAGGCTGAAAACCAGCAGTGATATCTGGTGCCCTGCACGGGAGTGAAGTGCAGTAGTTCCAATCTTTAGGAATCAGTGTCTGCTAAGCGGACAAGCAGACTTGCAGTGCCTGTTCATTTCCTGGGCTAAGGAGTCCTTTACTTTATGCAATAATAAAGAATGTTTTCAAAGCCAAAGAATTCATTTATTGAAAAGAAAAAAACATTATTTATTGAAAAGAAACAAGGGGGTGGAGTGGGGAACGGTACAATCACAGATTCGCGTATGTCCTGTCTGGTGTGCTGTGCAGTGAGTGCTGCACTTCAGGATAGCTATACTGCATGGTGATGTGGGTTGAGTGCAGAGGGTAAGGGTCGTGGTTTTCAGGGCTGGGTGGTGAAGATACTGGTGTTGGAGGCAGCGGGTGGTGTGAAGAACACGGAAGTTGGGGAAAGTGGGTTGGAGGTGACAGTGGGACACAACGGAAAGAGTTTTGGGACAAGGGCTGTAGGGGGGGGTGGCATTTGCGTTTGTGGTACTGCTCCTCTTTCTGCATGGCTATGAGCTCCTGGATAGCGTCTGCTTGGCGCTCCAGGATGCTTATGAGCCGATCCGTGCTTTGCTGCCGGTGCTCCGTGCTTTGCCGCCGGTGCGCTGCGTTTTCCTGGCGGATCCTGCTTTCTCTCTCCCTCCAGTTCTGTGCTTTCTCATTCTCTTTAATAGATTGCCGCATCACTTCTTGCAGCATGTCTTCTTTGCTTTTTCGTGGTCTCTTCCTGAGTCTTTGCAGTCTCTGAGCAGGCGATAAGAGGGACGTCTGAGGTCTCAAGGTTGATGCTGCTGTATAGGCAAAATGCAACATTTAACAGAGGCAGCATTGTTTATACCAGACAGAGTAATGAGTCCCCCCGTCCTTAAGGAGTAGAAAACACACAGGGTCTACACAATAGCATAATTTTCCCGTCCGAAACAGAGCACACATATCCCACAGGAGCCTCAAAATGGTGAGTAAGGGGGACTGATTGTTTCAGGTCTGCACTGTCCTCTGGGTTTCTGTGCCTTGGGGAGAGCCAACAGCTTCAGGGGGCACCTACACTGAACACTGTCCCAACATTTTCCACAGGAGTTCGTCCTGGACGATATCTCGCTACTGAGGGTGACCTGGGAAGCAAGGGAGGGTCTTCTACTGCAATGCGGCTTCCGCCCTGGCCCATATGCAGCTTGCCTGTGTGCAGCAATGGTCCCCCCGCCCCTCACGGCACAATGGCGCGGACACATTAGCCTGGCTGGGACAAGGACCACGGTGGCTTTCCCGATAAACCTGCGCAAGTGCATTGCACAAGTTCTGGATGAGACATTCGAGGAGATTACCGCGGCCGATTACCGCGATGTGATAAGCCACATCAATGCACTATTCAGCATCTAGGCATGCATGCCTAACCCTCCTCTCCCAAAGAGCCCGCACCGAAAAAATTCCTTCCCGAAAAAAAAACCCGCTTACCGGGAACCTGCTCTTCTGTTTGTCCTCCACCAAGTACCGGCCGCTGCGACTGGCTACTTTCCTCCTGGCTCGAGAAGAGCTCCTGGCTGCATGGCTCCAGGGATTCCGGGATGTCTCCATCCGGCCCACAACCATCACTCTTGTTTTCCTCCTCCTCCTCCTCCTCTTCCTCCTCCCCCCCCACACCAGCTCTGAAGTGTCCATGGTGGTGCTCGGAGTGGAGGTGGGGTTAACCCCAAGTATCGCATCCAGCTCTCTGTAGAATCGGCAGGTTGCGGGGGGAGCACCCGAGCGGCCGTTTGCATCGCGGGCTTTGCGGTAGGCACTCCGCAGCTCCTTCACTTTAATCCTGCACTGCAGGGCGTCCCGGTCATGGCCTCTTTACATCATGTCCTTTGATACCTTCCCGAAGGTATCGTAATTCCTACGGCTGGAGCGCAGCTGGGACTGGACAGCTTCCTCCCCCCAAACATTGATGAGGTCCAGCAACTCACCATTGCTCCATGCTGGGGCTCGCTTGGCGCGTGGAGGCATGGACACCTGGAAAGATTCGCTGATAGCACTCCACGCCATGCCGGGCTGAGCAAACAGGAAGGGGATTTTTAAAATTCCCGGGGAATGTAAAGGGTGGGTCACATGGTTGGTTACCTGAGGCCAGGGCAGTAGAGTTTGAACTGATGACCAGAGTGGCTAGAACAGGCATTGTGGGATACTGCCGAATAATTCTGGAGGCCATTCACAGCGCATTGGGTGGCCACACTGGCGCCGCAGCGCTGCAGCGGCAGCGCAATACTCGCTATTCCTCTCGGGGAGGTGGAGTACATGCAGCGCTGCAACCACGGAGATACAGCGCTGCAAATGCCTTGCCAGTGTGGACGGGGAGTGAGTTACAGCGCTGGGGGCGGCTTTACAGCGCTGTAACGCGCAAGTGTAGCCAAGGCCTTAGAGAGAGAGGTAAAATGAGTCTGCTCTACAGCCTTAGCTGAGCCAGTTGGTTTTTAACTCATGCGGTAGAGGCTCATGCACTGAGGTCTCAGGTTCAATCCCGCCTGCCGACAACTGGGGTCTGTTACATTTACAGACTGATCAAGTCACCCCTTAACCTTTTCTTT